TATATATTATATATATATATATATTATATATATATATATATTATATATATATATATAATATATATATATATATATAATATATATATATATATATTATATATATATATATAATATATATATATATATTATATATATATATATATTATATATATATATATATTATATATATATATATATGTGTGTGTGTATGTATACATATACGTACACACACACACACACATGTGTATATATATATATATATATTATATATATATATATTATATATATATATATAATATATATATATATATATTATATATATATATATATTATATATATATATATAATATATATATATATATTATATATATATATATTATATATATATATATATATATATTATATATATATATATATAATATATATATATATATTATATATATATATATATAATATATATATATATATATATTATATATATATATATTATATATATATATATTATATATATATATATATTATATATATATATATATAATATATATATATATATATACATATTGTAGCGTCTATTTGTTTCTCCCCTGAAAGTTCGCGCTATGAATCAATTCTCTCAAGCCTCCGTGGCACAATCGGTTAGCGCGTTCGGCTGTTAACCGAAAGGTTGGTGGTTCGAGCCCACCCGGGGGCGCTGGTTTTGCCAAAGGATGAACTTGTATAAACATCTTCGGCAAAAGAAGCGCCCCCGGGTGGGCTCGAACCACCAACCTTTCGGTTAACAGCCGAACGCGCTAACCGATTGTGCCACGGAGGCTTGAGAGAGTTGATTCATAGCGCGCACTTTCACGCGGAGAAACAAATAGACGAGACCCATTTACTTATCGATACAATACAATATATATATATATATATATATATTATATATATGTATATATATATAATTAGCTGGAAAAGAGTTGATATCAGAGCTATCATGAATACAGTTAACGATTTAATTAAAAAAGCAAGGAGGTTCATGTCGAGTATGATGTGTGGATAGCCAACTTACACACACACACACACACACACACACACACACACACACACACACACACACACACACACACACACACACACACACACATAAACACATAAACACACACACACACACACATAAACACACACACACACATAAATACACACACACACACATAAACACACACACACATAAGCACACACACACACATAAACACACACACACACATTTATATTGTTACTGTCTTTCCGTCAACTTTTATAGTTCTCATTTTTTATTTACTTCTTCAAAAGAGATACCAAAAGAGTCGCAGTTGTGACGAGTAAAGTGAAATTATTGTGAGTTTTTGTACATCTATAGTTTATTTAATTTTTCATTTTGTGTTTTCTTTATTTTGATAAATTTCCCTGAGGATTATTTTCTGTTTAGTTACTCGTGTTAATCGTTTTTTCTTCTTGTCTCTTCTTTCTATTTGTTTATTTGTTTGTTTTTGTTCCGTGTTTTGTTGTTCTTAATCGTCTATATGCCAGCAGTGTTTTTGTTTGTAATTTTTGTTTTGTTTTGTCTCATTCGTATAGTTTTTTTTTTCTTTCATTCTTTCTTTTTATGGCACTTATGTATATATTTTTTATTCCTCTTTCTCTCTTTTTCTTCGCATTTCTTTCTCTTTTTTTTACATAATTCATAACTGTGATGTTTTTGTCGTTGTTGTTTCCTTGCAAAGCATCTCTCTTCTCCGTTTCTCTCTCCTTTTGTTTATTCTTATCCGTCCTTTCCTATTCCTTAATCGCTTCATTGTTGTGTCACTTACGTAGTTGTTTTTTATCCTTTAATTCCTTTTTTTTCTCTTTTCTCTTCTTCTCCGCTTCCTCTCTCATTATCTTTCGCTGATTCATCGTCTTGTTTCGGAAATATATTGTAAATGAGTTTCTGTTTTTTACGTTTTTGTTCCATTGTGTTTTTCTCTTGTTTCTCCCATCACCTTTGGTCGGTTATTATTATCTATTTTTGTTTTTTTTTTCTTATTAACGTATCCTCTCGTTTGATTTGAAATTTTATATGTGAACCTGTACGCACACATACTCATGTGTATATATGTGTGTATATATAAGTTTATATATGTGTGTGTGTGTTTGTGTGTTTGTGTGTGTGTGTGCGTGTGTGTGTGTGTGTGTGTGTGTATGTGTATGTGTGTGTGTGTGTGAGTTCGTGTGTGTTTGTGTGGGTATGTGGATGCGAATGTAAACATATACATATATATGTTTATACGTACACATATATATATCCTTTCTTGCCCCCCCCCCCCCCCCCCCCCCCCCCCGTCTCTCCATCTCCTCCGCACCACGCGATCCAGGCGATGAGTCAGTGACCCTCCAGATGGCCCTCGAGACGCGTTATTTCCGGTTTTCCGTCGAGCACCCCCCCCCCCCCCCCACCTTTTCTCTCTTCCGGTGGATGTTCAGGCCAGACGTTGGGGAAGTGGGGCCTGAGCATCAATCACATACGGACGCCTACACGCACAAGCGCACACACACACATACATGCACACAAAAATATATGTGTATATATGTATACTTATATATATATGTACACACACACACACACACACACACACACACACACACACACACACACATATATATATATATATATATATATATATATATATGTGTGTGTGTGTGTGTGTGTGTGTGTGTGTGTGTGTGTGTGTGTGTGTGTGTGTGTGTGTGTGTGTGTGTATGTGTGTGTGTTTGTTTGCATGTATGTTTCCTGTATCAGTCAACCAAGCTATCTGTTTATCTATCTATATATCTATCTACAAAATTATATCTCTATATATGTACATACACTCACAAATGTATGAATGTATATGTATATATATACACATATATATGTATATATATATATGTAGATATATGCATATATATATGTACACACACAGACACACACACACACACACACACACACACACACACACACACACACACACACACACACATATATATATATATATATATATATATATATATATGTGTGTGTGTGTGTGTGTGTGTGTGTGTGTGTGTGTGTGTGTGTGTGTGTGTGTGTGTGTGTGTGTGTGTGTGTCTGTGTGTGTACATATATATATGTATATATCTACATATATATATACATATATATGTGTATATATATACATATACATTCATACATTTGTGAGTGTATGTACATATATAGAGATATAATTTTGTAGATAGATATATAGATAGATAAACAGATAGCTTGGTTGACTGATACAGGAAACATACATGCAAACAAACACACACACATACACACACACACACACACACACACACACACACACACACACACACACACACACACACACATATATATATATATATATATATATATATATATATGTGTGTGTGTGTGTGTGTGTGTGTGTGTGTGTGTGTCTGTGTGTGTGTGTGTGTGTGTGTGTGTGTGTCTGTGTGTGTACATATATATATGTATATATCTACATATATATATACATATATATGTGTATATATATACATATACATTCATACATTTGTGAGTGTATGTACATATATAGAGATATAATTTTGTAGATAGATATATAGATAGATAAACAGATAGCTTGGTTGACTGATACAGGAAACATACATGCAAACAAACACACACACATACACACACACACACACACACACACACACACACATATATATATATATATATATATATATATATATATATATATATATATATAGAGAGAGAGAGAGAGAGAGAGAGAGAGAGAGAGAGAGAGAGAGACAGAGATTGAGACTGAGACTGAGAGAGAGAGGGGGGGATTGAGACTGAGAGAGAGAGAGAGAGAGAGAGAGAGAGAGAGAGAGAGAGAGAGAGAGAGAGAGAGAGAGAGAGAGAGAGAGAGAGAGAGAGAGAGAGAGAGACAGACAGACAGACAGATTGAGACTGAGACTGAAAGAGAGAGGGGGGGGATTCAGACTGAGACTGAGACTGAGAGAGAGAGAGAGAGAGAAAGGAGGGAGGAGAGCATAAGAAAGAGTGGGGCGAACGAAAGGAGGAAATGAAGCAGACAGACAGGTATCACTTTTCCCTTTTTCCCGTATTTCAAATTCCCAACAGCGATTGACTAGCGACGTAAGACTGACACCATGAATCCAAAATAATCCCATAAAATGACACCAAGCCCGCACACCTCACCTGCTCTTAGACATTTCCGGAAAAAAAAAATTAACTACCTTCCACCTTGTTGTCATGGTGATGCTACCTGGCCTGATGACGTCACACATGTGCTTTCTATTCCACGTTTTTCGTTTTATTTTTTACTTTCTTTTTCTCATAATTATTGCAAACATGCCGTTCTTCGCAGCTCTCTTTATCATGAATTAATGAACTAAGAGAGAACAACAAGCCAGTAAACGTTACTTGTCCTTAATACTAATTGGCTACGATTCGTGACGTCATAAATAAAAATTCTAGTTAACCGCAATGACTAAACTTAACGGAATTTCGGAAACCAGATCAGCATGGACTATAGACACTTCAAGCCTTTGTCATCAACATATAAAAGAGAGTTTGAGCTAACAGTTATTTGCCTGAGCGTGACAACCATGCGGTCACGGCCTCTGGTCCTCATGGGAACAGCTGGGAAACTCATGGCGTTCGGGAGCCGCTCTAGTGAGGTCCGCGCACCTGCCGGGCGTATGACCAGTCCGTTCACCACGCGGTTCGCTCATCTTTCATTCATAAAGTAAACATTATTCTTATCATTTATCTATTACAAAATACGTATGTTTGTGTTGATTACTTTGCTAGATTGTTCTATACACTTAATAAGAAGCGAATATCAATTCATTCTTTCAGACGATGAATGAAAATAAAAGGTACAACAACATGTTACCTGTCGCCGGCAGAGACAAAGAACACGAGCGCCTGTTTTAAATGGCTTTTAGTGTCGGCGGTGCGTGGCGCAGGTGATGTCAGGACCGGTGTGACGAAGTGGAAATACAAAGATGTACATAAATTAATCTCATATTCCAGTAAAGGTGCTGTTTGGTAGCGATTCCTACAAAAAGGAGTGTTTGTGAAGCCATGTTTTCCAAAGAAGTTCTAAGTCTCATTGTAATTTTAGAAGGTAAGACAAGCAAAATAGTGAATTTCCTTGTGCATGTCTTCTGCATTCGGCGAACTGTTCAAGAAATGTTGCATGATAGCAAGCTGTTTATTAGTGCTTTACTGGATCGACGAATTCATTATCAAGATATTTGGTGTCCTATTTACGATATAGTTTAAAAGACAACAACAAAAATCGAACATTGATAAGTTTTGATGTGTAGATGAACCACAGTTTTATTTCAAGACTCTTCTTGAAACATGAAAAAATAACATTTTCACCCATACAGACAGGGCTGATTATGGTTTATTTATATGGAGCAAAACAGGTTATTTTTGTTGTATTGAAGAAGGCTGAAATTGGTCTGCTTATTACAATTAAGAATGAATTTGCATTGGGTTGAAAAGAACCAGGGGCACGCACACACACACTTACTTATACACGACACAACACACAACACAACACACATACACACACAAACACACACACACACACACACACATACACACACACACACACACACACACACACACACACACACACACACACACACACACACACACACACACACGACACGACACGACACGACACGACACAACACAACACACAAACAAAAAACACACACAACACACACAACACAACATAACAAACACACACACACAACACAAACACACACACTCAAGATATTTGATACATTTTCCACCAACACGCCTCGCTGCCTACTTCTAGCCACATTACATAACACTGCTCCCATCTTCACACGCAGCAACACGAACAGACAACTCAGATATTCATAAATAGAATCAGATCCAACATTCTATAGACTGCAACTCAGATAATCATGAACGAAATGAGATCTTACACCTTTTAGAATCTAATCCTCCATAATGTGCATTGATCTTGGTAAATAGCATAAAACAACAAGAAAACCATAATCAGATCTCATACAAATTAGGTTTTAGTCGCCTATAAAGTCTTAACAGCTGGAAATCCTATTCAAACAGTAAAATAATCATATCAGATCTTATAATTTTAGGTTTTATTCGTCTATAACGTCTCAATGATAGGAAATCCCATTAAAACATCTTATAATTTTAGGTTTTATTCGTCTATAACGTCTCAATAAAAGGAAATCCCTTTAAAATATCTTATAGTTTTAGGTTTTAGTCGTCTATAACGTCTTAATAAGAAGAAATCCCTTTAAAATATCTTATAATTTATAGGTTTTAATAATAACGTCTCAGTAATAGGAAATCCCTTTCAAATATCTTATAATTTTAGGCTTTATTCGTCTATAACGTCTTAATAATAGGAAATTCAGAGTGATGTTGCAGACTATCCCAGGGTGAGTCATTCTTGGCCACCGAAACCCCTGGGGCAGTGTTTGGGTTGCACATACCAGGAGGTCCCCACAGCCAACCGGGGGAGGGGGAAGGAGGGGAGGGGAGGGGCGCTGCATGGTCTGATTTATAGCTTAAGTGGAAGTCTGTGCGTGGATTAATGTAGTTATCACATATATAGACTCGCATATTGTGTGAGTGTATGTGTATGTGTGTGTGTGTTGTGTGTGTGTGTGTGTGTGTGTGTGTGTGTGTGTGTGTGTGTGTGTGTGTGTGTGTGTGTGTGTGTGTGTGTGTGTGTGTGTGTGTGTGTGTGTGTGTGTGTGTGTGTGTGTGTGTGTGTGTGTGTGTGTGTGTGTGTGTGTGTGTGTGTGTGTGTGTGTGTGTGTGTGTGTGTGTGTGTGTGTGTGTGTGTGTGTGTGTGTGTGTGTGTGTGTGTGTGTGTGTGTGTGTGTGTGTGTGTGTGTGTGTGTGTGTGTGTGTGTGTGTGTGTGTGTGTGTGTGTGTGTGTGTGTGTGTGTGTGTGTGTGTGTGTGTGTGTGTGTGTGTGTGTGTGTGTGTGTGTGTGTGTGTGTGTGTGTGTGTGTGTGTGTGTGTGTGTGTGTGTGTGTGTGTGTGTGTGTGTGTGTGTGTGTGTGTGTGTGTGTGTGTGTGTGTGTGTGTGTGTGTGTGTGTGTGTGTGTGTGTGTGTGTGTGTGTGAGTGTATGTGTATGTGTGTGTGTGTGTGTTAATTTTGAGTGCCCTACGTTTTAATACCATTAAGATTATGTGCGTTTGCGTGTTTATGTTCGTGTGTGTGTGCACTTCTTGAACAAAATAATAACCAAAATTACAATATTTGAACTAATTTTCTGACCGATAGATACCGACATTCATTGAATTCTTCACCAATGCATCACATATCATATCGAGCTTTGTACCGCAATACGCAAATTAAGTTCTATAAAATAACACGAAAATTACAGTAATCTTCGGTAAATATGAACAATGGGCGGACGGCTTTCACTTGGTAAGACGGTAAGGATAACCGCAGGTGACCTGAGTTTCCCCCAAAAAACATAAACAACTCGAGGTCAGGTCAAAGTCCCTCCTTGCCTCTGGAACTGGGAAGGGATTGTTTTGAGCTTATTTCTTATCTCTCTCTCTCTCTCTCTCTCTCTCTCTCTCTCTCTCTCTCTCTCTCTCTCTCTCTCTCTCTCTCTCTCTCTCTCTCTCTCTCTCTCTCCCCCTCTCTCTCTCTCTCTCTCTCTCTCTCTCTCTCTCTCCCTCTCCCTCTCCCTCTCCCTCTCCCTCTCCCTCCCCCTCCCTCCCCCATACCTCTTCCCTTCTCTCTCTCTCTCGCGCGCACGCTCTGTGCTTATCATGCGCGTGTACCTTATCAGTCGCGTAAAAAAATGCAATCTAGACACCTAGCCATCACCATAACTTCCGGTACAAACAAAACTAATACACGAATCCTAACAACTGTCCTCGAGAGATACACGGTTTAAACAGCAGGGTCAGTTCAATAAAATAAAATAAAAAACACACCTTTACAGTATCTATTGATTTTTAGAAGCGGAAGTAACATGTGTGAGTGCGAGATTGCGTGCGATGCGATGCGAGTAGGAGTTGGACATTTGCGTGGATGTGAACGTTGAAAGTGTAATGGTTTTAAGTGCTGGGTCTTAGGGTTATAAGTGTGAGCCGTATTCGTGTTGAAGAAATGGTAGAAAAGGTACGGATGAGAATAAATTTATTCACAATGCAAGAGGTGTAGTTCATCAGTTTCGATTATATCTTCGTCAGAAATGCGATGATATGATCGAAACCTGTTAAATACATCTCTCGTATTGCGAAGATATTCGTTCACATTTATATATTTTATACAGTTATAAGTGTGAGGATATCATCTGTTGGGGTTATAAGTAGGCTTAGAATATCGTATAAGTGTAAGATATTCGGTGTTGAGCTTATAAGTGTGAAGATATCGGGTTATAAGTGTGAGGATATCAGGTATTAGGGTTATCAGTATACATGGTTCACTGCTCTATATACCTCCAATAGCTCTTGCCGGAACTATAGGCTAGTTACTCTCTATGCGTTACGTCTGAGTGTATAAATCAGCCAGTTATATGACCACCAAAACCCGCGATGGAGATTCGGTAACCGGTCGACGCACACACACCTGCGTGAGGGGGAGGGAGGACGCGGGGGGGGGGGTCACAGGGAAAGAGGATTAGCGGGAGAGAGGGAGAAGGAGAGAGACAGGCAAGGTGAATAGGAATGTGTGACGTAGGAGGGAAAGAGAGTTAGAGGAGAGAGGGAAAAGGAGAGGAGGGGAGGGAAAAGAGGAACGAGAGAGAGGGGGGTAAGGTGAATAAGAAGAGAGAGAGAGGGAGGAGGAGAATGAAAAGGAAATGAGAGAGAGAGACGGAGAAGGAGAAGGGGGGAGGCAAAAGAGGAACGAGAGAGAGGGAGGAGATGAATGAAAAGGAAATGAGAGAGAGAGAGAGACGGAGAAGGAGAGAAGAGAGGAGGAAAATGAAAAGAAGAGAGGGAAAAGTAAATAGTTTTGTGGAGATGAGAGAGTGGAGAAATACAGATTATCAGTCGAAAGTAGAGGGTGAGAGGGAACAGATGAAAGCGGATGAGAGAGAAACCACAATAGTGTGACAAAAAAAGTAAATCGTGTAACAGGAAGGGAAGGACGAGAGCCAAAGAGGGGGGGGGGGGCATATAATCGGGGAATGAACGAGGGAATCGCAAGAAACGAGAAATAAAATCAAGAAGACAAGGGAACGCCAATAAAGAAAGGAAGAAAATAGAGACGAAAGATAAACAGGAAAACTTGGAAAAGAGAGAAGAAGAAGAGAAAAAAGATACATAAGAGAAAAGACAACTAACCGTAAGTATAAAGGGTAAAGAATACAAATAAAAAAAGAAAAGAAGATACATGCCCAACAATGCGAAAAATACGAAACCCGAGAGGAAAAAAGAGAAAGGAAATACGTTTAAAACACACACAAAAAAAACGAAACAGGTGGAGAGGATACATATCCAGAAGCGTAAAGGCGTTCACAGAGTGTAGTTCCTACAAGCCATCGGTCTCTAGCTCTTCCGGCGAGTTACCTGTCAACCTATAGATAAATAGATAGATATATAGATATAGATGGAGAGATAGATACATGTATATATGTATATATATATGTATAAATACACATACATATGTGTACTTACATATAAAGATACATATACATACCTATATGTGTATGTATATACACATGTATGTGTATATATTAATACATATGTATATATGCATATATATAAAGGTATATGTATGTGAATGCATATACTTATAAAGCGTGATGTTGGGTTCTAGTAGATGAGTGTACTGCCTACATACCAAAAGGAGTAAACTGCTGCCTCCAATTTCAACTCCTGCAGCAGCACTGTGCCAAGCTGCAGAGGCTTTTGCTTTTGTGGAGAGGAGAGCTTGCTACATGGGCTACAGCTTGACATCCTACCTCCTGGGGATTATACTCTAACGCAGCTGCTGAACGACGATACAGTACGATGAACATAAAGTGATTGTTTTAGCTCCAACTCATATATCATGAGGCTTCAAATACCAACGATATATTACACACACACACACACACATATATATATATATATATATATATATATATATATATATA